GTACGTGTTGGGATTGATTGCCCTAATGACTACACAATTTCAGGGCTTATTTCTGGATTACAAACTATCTGACTTTGTGTGCAGGTAAACATCACCCTAGCTGTCAAGCTTCAATCAAAATTCTAATGACATAAAAAGGAAGAGGTTTTATGCACTTCCACATTTTCTGGACAATTACTGAATATATTACTGACTGGATCTAGCATAAGATCTTTCTGTATCACACAGTGCTAAGACCTCTAAGTCAAGTATTTACTTTGAGCTGAAGGGCTGATATTAACTTTGTCTTCTTCATTATTACATTAAAATCAACCATTTTACTTTAGGTCCAATCAGGTGTTATTCTGCATACTTTGATATTGAAGAGCAGCTCTACAAGTATGTGTATATTCAATTGGAAACAGACCAGAAGGTGATGACCTTCATGAGTTTGAAGTGTTCATTCAAGTGCACTCTAGATTATTAACTGAAAATAAAATAAATAAAAAAATCCAAAGCCCTGAAATGTCCATCATGAACACAAGCTGGTTATGTAGGAATTTGTTAAACAGCTTAAGTAATTTTTCTTTCTTTCCTTATATGCAATGATGGCGGTAAGGTTGCTTTTTCTGCATCTGTTCTATTAGATGTGGCTGGAGAGCTGAAATCAGTACAATAAATGTTTTAACAACACAGAATATTCTGAGTTGGAAAAGACCCACATGGATGGGCCACTGAGTCCAGCCCATACAGGCGATCGAACACGTGACCTTGGTGTTATTAGCACCAAGTTTTAACCAACTAAGCTAATCTCAGGGTCACAGTGCAAGCATTTATCTTCATGTGGTAAGATAAGATTGGTTTGAGTAGGTGTGAGTAAAGGTGTGAGTAAATGCTACGTGAGTCCGATGAAAAAGTTTACTACGACAAAAGAAGGGTTCCTCTGCTGACTTTTATAAGCTGTCTATTTATGTATTGTGAACTGAAATGTAGTTACCATTCGATCATTGTTGTCTTAACTGTTCTGTTTTTTAGTTTGGTTTCTTGTTTTTTAATTGGACAATCTTGAGCTCTACTGTTGATCTCAGATATGTTTACTACGTGATCTGTGAAGGTCAGTGTTTTCTTTTGTAGTCCTCATAACCACAAGCATACATGTTTTGCATGAACTTGCTTTTTGTAGGTCTTATTTCAGGATAATAGAAAGCACTGGTGAAGACTGAAGCTTTATTTGCTGTACCAGGATTATTTAATTTTTAAGTTACTTCAAGCAGTACTATTTGTTTTGAATGGGTGCTGATGTATAATGTAACCTTGCTAATCATGTTAAAATGTGAGACCATAATAAGGAGGAATACAGTGAAATATACCAATTTATTTCCATAATTCATGTAAGTCAGCATAGCTCAAAATAAGAACACAAGTACTCCATTGGGTCAAGCCTGCAAAGCCTAGTGGCAATAGGAGACTTCAAATATCTTTGATCTATATTGCTGATTTACATGAATTGAAAGACTGACTGCAAGATGTAAGTTACTTCCTCAATTTGAAATACTTATATCACTCTTTTATATAATTTAAATGCTATAATAATAGAAACAAAAATCTATCTACAGCTGAAAAGGAGTCGTTTAGCTTTCTCTTTACAGAGCTTACCAGTGATTTCATAAGGGTTAAATATTTTAAAGGCATTGAAAAACCACAGCATCTCTTGCTACTTTAATCAACAACTGGCAGGATTGGGCTGCATCACCTTTTTCCATTTAAAGTGAAGGGGAAAATTCCTGCAACTTCTAGAATCAGTGAGATTCAGCCTTAGAATAACTGTGGATGCTTGTAGGTAGATTCAAACACCTTGTATGCATTTTTAAGCTTCCAAGTCAGCTCAAGCTTGTGATTCTAGACAATCCTGCATGTGTTTAAAGGTAATAATTAATTTACGAAGTATGGTGCAGGTATGGCTTCATATCTGTGTAGGTTTTATTGTAATACTTCTTAGAATATATGTTTTTATAAAGGTTTAGCTTTTGAGTCTTGGAGAAACAGCAGCAGATGGACTGTCTATGCAATACTGTGCTAGTAAGGTTAGCACAATCCTTACAAAATGTACTAAGTTTAAGTATGAGGTGTCCCAATATCTGTATGATTCAGATAGAAAATGAGTATCCAAAATAGGGTGCAGATGTACCTTATGTGGGAAGAGCTGTAAAGAAAAACAGTCAAGTAGATGCATAAATCATATGAAGTGTGTTATGTGTAAGTCATATGAGGAGTGGCTGAGATTGTTTAGCCTGGAGAAAAGGAGGCTCGGAGAGACCTTCCAAAGCTGCTGGAAAGGAGGTCATCCTCTTCTCCCAGGTAACTAGAATAGGACGAGAGGACAAGCTGTGCCAGGGGAGATTCAGGTTGGACATCAGGAAGAATTTCTTCACAGAAAGGCTTAAGCATTGGAATGGGCTGCCCGGGGAGGTGGTAGAGTCACCATTCCTGGAGATGTTCAAGAAATGATTGGATGTGACACTAAGTGCCATGGTTGAGTTGACAAGGTGGTGATTGGTCAAAGGCTGGATTTTATGATCTTGGAGGTCTTTTCAACCATAAATGATTCTGTAGGGCGTGGTTTTGTGCAGGTGTGTTTCATGGACATGTGAGAACAAGGACAATGTCAATAGCAGCGCAATAGGGTACTCTACAAACAGCATGCCTAACTAAGCCTTTGCCACTGACCTTAGTGTGAAATACTTCTTTGAGACAAGATTAGCAGTGGAGTCTCCAGACCTTGATCCCAGCAACTTTGGTGCTAAAGTCATCTACTGAGGTGACTGCACATACACAGAAAGAGCACCCAACAGCTAAAAGGATTCCAGAAATGAAACTTGCACGTGGCCAACTTCCATGTAAGCAGAGGAGTATCTATTTGTAAATGTACCATTGTTGAGGCAGTTTACAACAGACATAATATGGAGGAAGAGTAAAGCATCTGAAAAAGATGTAGTGACTGACAAGGAGTTCTCTGGACCTATTTGAAGACTTGGAAAAGGGAAGTTGCAGGTTTCTGAATCACAGTGGTTAAGCACCTTTAAAGGAGTAAATGACAAGTTTTATCTATGCTCTCATTTGTGCTCTGGCAACAAATAACTATTGAATTGGAGAAGTGAGGGTGGGTGGTGAGGGAATGGGACGTGAAAACAACTGAAGTAATCATCAAGAGATGCTAGAAGACAAAATTCTCTTCTCCTGGTACTTCATGATGGTTTGATCCTGATTCTTTGGCATACTTATGGGGCTTAACACATCTTACCTAGTTCTTAGATGACAGCAGACCCTCAATGGAAGTTAGTTCATGACATGCTCAGTCCTGGTTTCTGATGGCAGGCTGGCAAAACTGGGTGATGGAGGTCTGGCTTAATGCTCCTGCTCTGGTTCTTGCTATGATTTGGGTCACCTAGAATGGGACTTGAATAGAATTTAGGTGTTCAAGCACAAGTTGTTATAAAAGGGCTTCATCACAAATACACTTTGAATGGAGCCTTAATTTTATATCATGGGAGGTATCTAATCTAGAGGTGCTTTAATTTTTATTCCAAAAGTTCCATACTGCTCAGTGCTTCTGGGTGGATGAAGAGCTGTTGATTATTCTGGATGTCGTTCTACATGTGGCTGTGTTTTATTCACTTATTCAGTGTGAAATATGGAAATAATTCTGTGGTTACCCTCTAATTGGTGGAATAAAAGTATAACACTGTTATCCCAGGTGCCTCAATCATAGATGATCACTTGAGGAGCAGTCAATTCTGCCTGCACTTAGGCACACCAATACCAATGGTAATCAGAAAAATTACTCCCTTGTTCAGAGGGAATGTAATAGCTCCTTTTTGTGTGTGATAGCTCACACCTAATAATAGCCTTAAGACGAGGTTCAATTTCTCAAAGTAGGTCTCCTGTTATTAGGAGGATGTAGCAAAGTTTTGCTGTATGCTTTGCTAGAAAAGCTACTGATGCTAAGTATAAGCCAAACCATCTGAGTCTTTCTCATCAGAAGAATGAACACTTGAAAAAGACACATATGACGTTTCAGTTTAATGAGCTTTGTAGGTGATAAAGAACTATTTTTCTGAACTTAATTAGAATTTAAAAAAATAAAGAAATGATAACTTTTTTTACTTTCTCAAATGTGTAATTGATAAGCAACTTGTTTTCTGATCTTAATAATGTGAAGGACAATTAAAAAAATCCAAACCCCAAACCAAACAAAAACCCCTCTGGAGAGTTCCTGGAATAAAAGCAGGAAAAAATTATTTGATATTTATTATTTCTGCAAGAAGCCTCATTGTTCAAAAAGCAGCAGCAGCAGTTAATGGAAATTGATTACAACAATTTTTCTGCTCTTTTATTCCCCTAACACACTCCTTAAGGCTACTTTGGCTTGAGATTTCTGCTGCACAGGAACACACCCATGACCCAGAAGCTCCAGTGTTGGTCCTATTGAAGTGCCATGTTCTCGATAGCGTAGTGTATCCACAGCATTCAGCATGGTATGTGTGGTGTGCTGCTGTGCTTGACACTGCATTGCTGGATTTGGTAAACTGCTAATAAGTTCCACCTGAAGCAAGTAGAGTGATGTCTAAGTAATGCCTGATGTTCCAGGTACTGCTTCCCCCTTCACTAATGCAACTTCCTCTCTTTCACAAAGCACTGAGATCCTCAAGCAGTGCAGCAGATAGGATCTTTAAAAAAATGAGCCAAACTTTTAGCAAAAGATCTCAAAAGATCTGTGAACTACTGTCAATTAAAGCTCTCCTACTGTAACAAATGACAAAATGAAGACTTCTACCGAAGTAGGTATAATAGTATCAATCCCATCTCCCTTTCTACATCTTGTGGCAGAGACTTGCATTTGAAAAGCCTCTAACTTCTTCTTGATAGCAGGATTACTTATCTAATAACATCTATGATACTACTTGGACCTGTTTTAATTTCCTTTCAGATAAAACCCAACAGAACAGTAGTTCTTAAAAAAATTAGTGATTGTAAATTTTGCTAAAACCTTATTGGGGGGAAAAGATTTTAACTGGGCACAGCACTTGACTCCACTTAATTCAGTTTAAGCATTGTTAGACTTCAAATTTCCAGGAATTCTGCCTAAAAGATCTTTAAGACAAGTAGGCTAAAACTTAGTTATCATCAAAGTCAACTGACACAGGAGCTAGTTATAAGGCTGCTTGCGTTTTGGATCCTGAGCGATGCAGAGAGCAATGCATTCTTCTGTTCTTTTCCAGCTATACCTGCAAGAATGAAGAGAGAGATGATCCCACATGTATGGAGGGGAACTACACAGTCAACCATCAACTAAAATGTTGATGCTACCGAAAAGGAGGGGAAAACAAGCAGGTTCTGTTCTGATTGCATTTGTTCTCATTCCATATTGGTATATCTTGTAATATTTCAGGGAATAACTCTTTCCCATCACTAATATAAGTTGAACATCATGAAATGGTGAGGAAGAATATTTATCTACTTATGGATGAACCAGTGAGGAAGGCATCTACTTTAATCTCAGTGACATGATTGGAATAGAATCACCTCAGTACCATTGTTATTGTAGTGAGATTAGTGTCTACAAATTTAATAGTTTGTTTTTTTCCTGTGGTCATCACTTGTATTAGCTGAATCTGTGCCAGTTACAGAGTGGGACAGAGATCAGTAAGTGTGCATGCAGTAAAAGGTGTCTGCTGTACAAGTCTGATAAATGTCTTAATGCCATGTGAACTGTGCATGTGCATTGTGCCATGACTTTGAAAACACATGCTCACTGATTGGACTGCAGGGCTGGGAATTAATTTAAGTGATTTTACTGAAGTGATGGAAGTAATGGTAAAGGGAAGATATGGCTGTAAGTTGGAATCACAGGTGCAGAGAACAGTTCTGTGTACTGTTGAATGGTCTCAGCTCTTTCAGCAAATGTTTTCAGGGCTTTACAAAAGGTGCAGAAGTCAGCACTACTATTTATTAGATTTTTCCTGTAGAAAAGAAGGCCATTTTTATCGTTTGCCTATGACCTGCTGCAGTGAGTATAAATCATCCTTCATCTTCATGCTGGGCACTTTATCAGCTTCTGCCACTTTCCACATCTTCCCTTCTGTTCTTTTGGGAAGCTATTTTCACTGTCTTTTCCCTTTATGTGTATCATGATTATAAAACAGCTGTATGCATACTACTCCAGGAAGAGCGCTGTGTTCTTAGCCTGGACCCCAAATCTTCCTTCACTGATGTTGATTAAGCCTGGTCTGATGCTGAAAGGATCTGCTGTGAGCACCAATTTGTCTATCCATGCCATCTATGTTTATGCATGGTCTTTTGCATGCTGATTTTCTTGGTAGTACTTAGCTTTTTTATTTTCCCCGGCTTTAATCATAAGAGGTGAACTAGAATGAATGTCTGGCTTTTCCTCCTGAAAACACTTTTGCCCTGAGGAATAATGGAGGCTATTGCAAATCCTGCATTCACAGATTTCTGTGAATATTTCTGCACCAGTGATGCCCAGCCTGGTGAGGGTTGAATACATAGAATTTATGTTGCTGGAAGCTGGGAAATCATGCACTGAACCACTGTTCATCTCTACTCACGTAGACTGGGCACGAACAAGCAGGCTGTCACCAGCAGATAGAGTCAGGGTCTTACCATCCATGGTAACAGTTGAGGTGCCCTCCTGAAGAGAAAGAACAGGTAACCAGCTTTTAATTTTCCATGTCCTGTCACTAGCAGAAAGAAAATGCTGCAAGAATGGAAGTCTTTCCCACTGAAGAGCACCTCAAGCCTGCTCTGTTTCATGAGGCCTAGCTAAATATCAGTTGACCTTCCCTGTCCAACACTATTAGCATCAATAAAAACATGATTCATGGTTCACTGTTCCCCATTGTAAAGCAGCAACCTGTTGCCTGATTCTTGGGGTACACTGTTACCTATCTAACCTAGCAGCCTGCAGATTGGTACAGCCCCATATATCACAGAGAGAATCTTCTGGAGTACTTGAAGCTCCTCTTCTACTTTTCTGATATTTTTCTAAGTCTCAAATTAAAAGTAGAGACCTGACTGAAATTGCGAATAGGAGTCCATCCAGACTGGAATGAACTAGTTATTATCTTGTCAAACAGAGGAGCCAGGTACTTGCCAGCCACAAGGTCTTGACTGCATTGGCTGCTGTAAGCTGCAGTGTAAACAAATGTCTTCCAAGATTATTATGTCTTTAATTAGTATTTGATAGTCCCTGTGAATTTCAACAGAACAGGAACTGATAGAAATACCTGCCTCTCAAGCTAGCCTGACTTGCGTAAGCAAAAACTATCTCTTCTTTGTTTTTCCCTTGGGTTGCAAAAGTTTTCTAGAAGTCAGTTGAATGAAGGACATGTGGATCACCTACCACTGTGGTTTAGTATAAACAAGTTCTCAGACTTTTTTTATTAGCTTACTCTACTTGATCCCAGTTTGACTTCAGTATGAGGACAAAGGCTTTAAGGCAGAACTAATAGGTGATGTTGTCTTATCACCTAGAGGCATTCTGATATATTTACAGGACATATCCTAGGTAGGGTGTATTAAAATCCTCAACAAGGATAGATGCCAGTCCTTAATGTACAAGATGAGGCAAAAGAGGCTGTTTTTATGGTGGCAGTACTTTACAGTTATTTTTCCTTACAGTTTAAAGCTGAAAGGCAGTGCCTGTGGGTGATCTTATCTACAAGAAGGAAGGTAATTGTTCCAGTTTCTGTTGCTAGAAGGTTTTACTACTGTTCAGTCTGAACTGAAACATGAACTCATCAGTTAACAAGCATGAATTGCCACATACCAGCTGCCATATCCAGATATCTGAATTCTTTTTACTTTTCTCAGTTGTTCCTGGTCCATAAGCTATAACCTTCAAAAAAAAGGAAGAAAAGTAGTGGATTTATCCCAGTGACCAAAGTGTCCATATTCATCTTCCAAGAGCATTTAATACATTCTATTTTTACAGGACAATATTCATAGAAGATGACGTTATTTTTACAGACATTAAAATTCACACTGTGTTTGGTATTCTCATATTGATTCCTACTGATAAAAAGGGAACTGATCACACCTGCCACTCCTTATGCTCCTCTGCATCCTCGCTTATCTATTCCTTCTGCTTCCTCCTACTCTCAGTTTTGCATCTACATGGTTCCTGCTTCTGTTCTTGGAACAAGCACTTCCTCCTCATGAACTCTGGGCCCTGTCAAGAGCCTGTTGAAGTAGGAAAGTTTCCTCTGTTAAATAAAAAAAGCTGAAAACCAGACTTTATCTTTCTCATTATCTGCCCTTTCATGACAGTCCCACATTGTCACTTTGCTGTCATATGTATTGGATTCTTCAGTGTGACTCCAAGTAATTCAGGGGAAGATTATGTTTTGTAAACAACATGCATACAGCACAGATATCAAACGGTGACAGCTTCATTGAGACCCACACTAGACTGTGTTTGACTAATCTGAGAAGTGCAATGTTTTAGTGCAGCCCAGGCTTTCTGGTGCTCTCCAGTTTTCCTTGTTTCCACTTTAATGTAGATTGAGGGGGAGAAAAAAAGTGTGTTTACACACCTGTATTAGCCTTTGGCACCATGAATGCTCTTCAAACATGTAGGGAAGCTGAACACACTTCAGTAATATTTGCATCATGCTGGTGCTTCTGATTTGGGAAATATGGGGCAGGGGGGAGGAATGGAGTAAAGGAGCTGTTTTAATCCCAAAGGAAATTATTAGAAACAAGATTCAGGTTGATTCTGTGAATGGAAGTAATGAGCTAGGAAGCCCTTGCCCTAAGCTAATCAAATCAATGGACAAAGGTATTTCTGAAGGGCAGGGCAGACTAAAACTGAGTTCTGTCAGGGTGCAAAACTTTCTCTGCTGACTACATATTGTTCTCAGGCCTGGATTCACTTGGTCTGGACAGCAGGTATGTATTATCTGTACCTTTAAAAATATTCCTCTCTTTTTAGAGAAATTAGACCCCCCTACCTCTGTTTCAAAATTATCTCCAAACATACTCAAGGATTTCTTCTGTTTTATTTCACCACGATGATCATTTAACCAGCCTGGGAAGGAAAATGGCTCCATAACGGAAGTGGAATTTAGTGGGAAAGGTGTTTCTTTCAGGAGTTCATCTGTAAGCAAGGCAGAGAGATATCAGCGATACTTACTTCCCTTGATCTTTGCAAACATTTTACTTGAAGGGTTCAATTTACAGCTACTGTCTAGTCAAAAGTCAGTTGTAACAGTAACCAGGTCATTATCAGGACTTCTTATTTGAGATTCTAAGATGTATGTGTTACCTGTGTATCTTTACGGAGTCGTTTCTTCAAAGATATTTTCAGAACTGGGTATTCAAACAGTATGCAATAGACTACTTTTGGCTGCATATTCATCATTCTCTTTCAGATCAGCATTTGCACTGGAAAAATGTGGTGTATAATTTTTGAGCCTTTGCTCATATCATATCCCCATATAAGTGGAGTTCAGCCTTTAGAACCAACTTGCTCTAGATCTCTCACATAGTTAGTACTGGCTTCTCCCCTATATGTTTTTAAACACATTGACCACAGTGAAGCAAACAGGTTATCACAACCTAAAATATAATTTTTTTTGTGCTGTTCCTGGAGTTGTAGCTGGATTTGATTTCCAGTAATTCTCCTTCGTAAATAATTTGATTTAAAATAGCTGGAGGACTAAATGTTATTTCAGTGTAGCTGGCAAAATTCAAGATCTGTGCTGCATGTTGCTGGTATATGAAATGAGCTTTAGTTATTTACCAGCTCACAAAGAAGTGCAGAGACAGTGCAATTGCTTCAGTGATTCTAAGTGGTTTGTTCCAAGATGCCATGGGGGAACACCTCAAATAATAATGCCAACTAGATACCAGAAGAACTCACTAGATGGTTTTCTCCCAAATGTAGTGTTTGCATGTTTTGAATGTATCATGTCAGTTTTTCATTAAAGACCATTTTCTAGAAAGTTTTTGAATGATGTGGAAAGGTCAGTGCATCCAAAGGATAGCAGTGTACTGAAGATGCTACTGCTGTTTATGGCACCATAGTAAGTACCGAGTACACTCATCTCCTGATAATCTGTGTGGATTTCTACAACTTTTGTTGTAGAAATAGTTTTTGCCATTCAAATTTCTTTTTCATTATATTGGGAAGTTGGACCAGATGATCCACTGCGGTCCCATCCAGCCTCACCCGTTCTGTGATATTAAAATAATTGGGAGAAGTCAATATGTTTCTTGAAATAATTTCTCTTGCCAATGTCTCTTTCAGGAAATACTGAAAGCCATCTGAAGAAATCTGCAGCAAAAGAAAAAATTTTTATTTAAAGGTTTTTTTTTTTTTGGACTTTTAAACATGAAAAAGATCTAGTCTCAAACATTCTATATTCTATTGTTTGATAACACTAAAATGCAGTGTTAAGGTAATTGGTGATTTATTTTCCACATATGTCTGGTTCTCTTGGGGTTTTTTTGCTTAATTTTCACAGGTTCATCAAACATGTTTTGGAGGTAATTAAGAACACTTAAACACCTTGTCCTTAAACAATGCATATGCTCAATGAAACCTGCATTGGAAAATTGGGGTTTTTTAAAGGAGAGATACAAAATAAAGCTCTAAATGCTATGGTACAGCCGAGGGGAAAAAGAATATTTATCAGAAATTTTATCAGAAGGTACTCAGTGCAATTAGTATTCCAAAAGTCTTTAAAATATTTTGTTCCATTAATAGTAGGAATCTTTATCAGTTGGGTTTTTTTGTTTGGTTGGTGTTGTTATCAAAATAAAACTCATCACTCTTGAATTTAGAAAAGTTTCTTGTAGTTTTGAAGTACAAGAAAGTTACCCATTGGTAACTTTCTGACAGGGCTTTCTGTCATGCATGTCCTTGTTGAGATAGGTGTGGAGGGGTTTGGTGGATTCTTTTTTTTTTCTTTTTTATTTGACAAATACTGAGATGCTAACAAACACTGAGATGTCATGAGTATCCTGCTCAACTCAGGGGGGCTATGTTTTCTCCATAGGTCAAGAATTCTAGCATCAAGCTAACAAGTACGTTCAGGCTTGATATGCTGGAGAATGGATAGCAAAAAGACAAGTCTTGAGGAATGGCACTGTGGTGTTTTAGGCAAGCTGAACTATGAATGCTCTCCAAGCCAAAGTACTTGTTTGTGTTCTGACCATGAAGCAACACAAATCTAACAATGACAAGTAACTATGAACTCCTAAGTTTGTAGCTTAACTTCTGTCAATTATTCTCCACAAACATAATTTCGTTAGTTTTCCTCTTTCTAGTGATCTCTGAGCCCAGCTGCCCTGACCAACATGGGACAACACCATATGGTGGCCTATGCATAGTTGGGGTCAGTGTAAAGTGTAATACATCCTGCACTTACCATGGTGCAGTCCTTTCTTGCTTGTGATATACAGGTAATTTCTAGCAGTTTCACTTACTTTCATGTAAAGGTGGACTTTTGTTTATTTGGACTTTAAGTTCCTCAATTCAAGAGCTGGTTTTTTGACATTTGTCTTGTCAGCAGACCCTGGCCTGTGATGGGGTTTTGGCTTAATGCCACTTTTGATATTAATGACACTTTCCCAGTGACAGCACAAAGGCCTTTGAAAACTGCATCTGCATGAAATTAATCTATAGTGCAGTCCAGCACAACGATTTGATTATCTGGTACTGCGGAACAAATAAGACAGTGCTATGGTGATGAGGTACGTGACATATATGTGACATTATCTTGACTACTTGACTGAGTTCTTATTTAACCCTGATACTGATTCCTCGCATGATGCTAAAAGCTGCGTCCTAGTGCTTGTGAACTTGAGCTAACAAGCTATAATGAAGACAATCCCATCTTTTGCAGTCCCACACATATCAGAGTTGAAGTCTGGTGCTTCCAAAGGAACTGAGTGTTTCCTATCAGGCTAATGGCTTATATTTAGATATTGTTGCATATATTTCCGCTTAGCCTGTACATTAGCTTTCAACAGTATCTCAGGAAGTGTAAGTGTGTGTTTCTGGAGCTCTGTTCTAGCAATACTGTGGGACAAGGAGACAACATGTTTAATGATGGTAAAAGTAAAAATATGCCAGCAAAATGCAAGAAGATGGCACTTCTAAGCTAATCAGCTAAAAGTCTTGTGTATGTTTTTCCAAGTAATATAACACTAAGTGGAACATCAAATCTAGTATTTTCTTACGTGTTCAGGACAACCATTTAAATAGCTCAATACTAAAGTCCGTTTTTGTAGATAATTACTATTAAAAATTCATATCACAGTGATGTGTTCTTTATGGGGATTATAGCTCTTTTCAGGTTTAAATTAGAATGTGATTATATCGTGTTAAACTGAAAAATACATCATGTTTACTAAATGAGTTTGTAAACATTTAAAAAAAGAAATCACAGGTTTTAGAGGAAGTCGATTTCAGTTAAACAATAGAGACTGTACTGAGACTGAGAATATTAAACCAGGCAAAAAGTAGAGAACTGCTTGCAAGACAACAGCAAGTGAATGTACAGGTATTTACAGCCTCCACAGAGACCATCTAAGGAAGACGTTGAGCTTGTTGGGAGTACTGTACTTCTGATAGCAATAGAGAGGACAGGTAAAAGAGGACTGACACTGACTTACCAGGTATATGGGGATGTATTTGCTTACCCCAAACTCATGTTACATGGAAGGTCTCCCTCCCCTACCCCTGTGATGTGCCTAAGCTTTCTTGTAAAAAAAAATCAACATCTCATTCTCTGAGTGTTTCTTGAGCCCTATTATTCTCAAGCTCTTCCATAGCTCTCTTACAAATCTTGTTTCTTCAGGATTTGTGCAAAGGAAAAGAGCAAAAAAGCACGTGAAATATATTGAAATAAGGTCAACTGTCAAAGTGATTATGTTGGCTTTCTGAAAAACTGTATTTTTCAGTGATGTGCCATCCTTTACTTCTAGATAGCACACTCTAGATGGGAACAATCTTCAAATCTTTAAATCTCCTTATATATTCTTATTAATTATAAAAGCCCCTCCCTCCTAAGGAACTGTGCTGCCTCAGAAACAATCTGCCCCTGCATGTTGTGGCCCCATCTCTATGCAAGGATGTGAGACAGTCCATTACAAATGGTGTCTCCCTCTGTAAAAGTAGAAGACATCCTTATCCAAAGTGGAGCCATTGAACCCTCTTTGTTTTTTCAATGGTCCAGACTACGGATAAAGAGCTCATGAGTTATTTTTAAATTATGTATTCATTTATTTCTGTGCACTTTCTAATTATGATTTGCATCTCTTAAACACTATATATCATAATGAATGATATATAATTCTAATGTGAGAGTTTTGCAGCATTTCACATTTAACTGCCAATGTCAGCAATAATACATACCCTGGGATGTTTTTCCCATATGTGCCTACCTAATTTCTATGGAAAAATCTGCTTTATTCTCCATGTTAACAGAAATGTCAATGAGACTAGTAGGACTTTAATACCTCTGCAAATAAAACCTGTGAAATTAGGGATGTAATTTCAGACATCGAGGTTTGAAAAAACAAGTAGTTAGCTCATTCCATATAAAAAGCCAGAGTGAAAGCACTGACAGTGACTGATTACTTTGGGGGTTGTTTGTTCATTTCACTGTTGTTGAGTATAGATGCAAAAACATTTAGCTGAAAATAGAGCACTCACTTGGAATAATCATACATTCCCTGTGTAACTGTATTTGTTTTTGTAGCATGCCCTGATAATTGGCGTGACTGCTAATTTATGACTTGTCTCTGTAATTATTTCTAGGCACATTTTTCTTTGTGTCATTAAATCTATGCTGGAAACTGAGCAACAATTCTTTTTTTCCTAATTGAAACAAAGAAGTTTGATGAGGAAAGCCTTGAAAATATTTCTGTAATAAAGAAATATAGCCTTTTCAAAAGGAGATATCATCAGCCAGAAGGGAGGAAAGAAATTAGAACAAAAAAAATGCAATATTTAAGCCATAATTCTGTTTAAAGGTTCTTCATGATCTAGCTAGGTTATTGTAATTAAGAATGATAAATTGTATTGAGAAATACTGACTGCTTTCCCAATCCTTAAATCGGGAATCTTAATGTTGTTTCTGCATCTGC